CTATCTCGTGTCGCGAACATGATAAAAAAAAAAAAAACAAAAGGAACACAAACAAAAAAAAAAATAAGAAATAGAAAAATCGTCAAAGCACAGGGGGAGACACGTTGTTAATTAGTTGAGTAGCGAGATTAACTCGGAGCAGCCGGAGGGGGCGAGTTGGTGCTATGGGGGCGGGATGTGCGGGATGGCGCGCATTTTGTGAAAATCGACGAAACATGGCCAGCGGCACAAACAGGCATTGCAGGGCCAACATTTGAAGCGCGTCTGCCTGAGCTTTCCACGTGATGTGACCATTCCGCGCTGCTTGCAGTGTACACATACTTTTCCGTGGCCGTTTGCTTTGCTGAGGCTATGCGGCTGACCAGATACGTACGTAATCCCTCCTGGAGAAAACACATTGGCCAAACACTTCGGTTAGTCAGTTCTTAAGTATATCTGCACATGCAGGCAACCATTAGTAAACAAATGTTCGTTTTTTTTTTTGTTTTTTTTTTTGTTTTTTGTTTTTTGTTTTTTTTAAACGACCAATCCCAGCACCAACAAATCCCGTAGCCGTGAAAGCCAGAGTCTAGAAGTATCAGCAATACCAATATACCCACGATATGTTGTTGTTGTTGTTGTTGTTGTTTTTTCGTACGTACATATATGTATATATATATATATATATAGATATAGATATGTACATATACAGAGAGTGGACAAAATAACGTGAACACCTGTGAAATACGCTATACCGTTTTATTGTCACGGAGTCGAGCCACGGATCCTTCTCGGATTCGATCCGTATTCCGTTCTTCTCTCTTCCGCGTACTCCCGGAGGTATCGAAAGGAAGCATTCGCTTCTCGCTACGTTCTCCAAAATTGCCAGAGACGATTCCACGATATCTAGATCTTCCCATCGTTAATTCATCGTCGTTGTCTTGAGAGATGGCTGGTTCGTCGAGGCTTGTAGAGCGTACACTTTGTGGTCCAGAATGGTCGAGTACTCGTTGCCAGTGATACGACCATTCGAATAGTTTAAAGCAGACAGAAGGTATTCATACAATTTTGCCTAGTCCCTGTATATATGTATATATACATATATATACATATACATATATATATATATACATATTATATAACATATATATATATATATTATATAACATATATATATATATATATATGCGTGTGTTTAGATGGAAATATATAGCATTGCCAGGTGCTAGCCGAATCTCTCGATCATTGTTCTCTTTCCTCTCATTCCGTTTTCTCTTTCGGCGTGTCGCGTTTCCGCGAACCTTTTTCCGTTCCGCCTCCCTTCGGTCTCTCCCTCTCTCTCTCTCTCTCTCCCCCCTCCCGCCCATTTTCTTTAGCGTTTCGTATTATTATTACGGTTACTAGTACATTCGATGTTTCGTTGCGTCGAAACGCAGCCTGGCAACTAGGACCGAAACCGATTGTCCTCGATGAATCGCCTTCACTCCCTTTCTCGGTTCATCGAGACGGTTCTTTGCTTCTGTGTCTCTGCTGGATCGTCTCGAAACCATTCCTCCTATCACTTTAGTTCCGGGGCACGTGTACGTTTCTACTCTGTCGTATATTCCAATTCGTTCCGTCGCGTCGCTTCGAAAGAGCAACGAGCGAAACACCGTGACTCGTTGGATCGACGAAACACACGACGATCGAGGTCGGTGTAACGTATCGTCGACGAACGATCGCGCCGTACGTCGATCGACCGACGATCGCGTCGCCCTAACAGGAAATTCCACGATTCGTTCTTATGTTATCGTCAATTTGCTGGCGGACGTTGGATCGGCGTACGGTTTACAATTTTTTTACGTCGCTCCGCGATGAGAATTACAACCTTTACAGCGAGCAAAACAGTGTAATTCCAGGCGCGCGCACACACACAAACACTCGTAATTACCGAGGGATCCGATATCGATCCGAACGGTCGTTCTCTCACGCGTCAACGACGCGCGTACCAGAGTTGGCCAGCAACTGATTACATTCTGATTACCTTCGTCGTTGATTGCTGAAAGTAATCGCGATAATCGGGATCATTAATCGAATAATCATCACCGAGCGTAATCAGAAAATACGAACCGCGTGAGTTGCACTCACTGGCCGTCAATGGGTAATTCGTAAACGTTCCATGGAAGATTGATTTGGTCTCAGCTAGAATTTCGATACTTCATGGAACACTGTTCGCGACAGCAGTCTTGTTTCATTCTTCGAATGCACTTGTTCGTCGAATCTCGTTAAAAAGTGCAGTCTCGCGATTAATGATTGACGAGCTAATCGCGCCCAATGACTTCGTTCGCTCCGATTACCAGCGATAACCATTGATCATGATCACTGATTACTTGGCGATCACAGTCGTTAATCACTCCCTTGATTACACGGTAATCATCGATCAGATTAGATCTCGCCCCAACACTGGTACAGACATGGATTACATGTGCCTTTTAAACTGTTATTTACATCGTTGTTTAGTGCTCGACTTACAGTATTTAATTGTTATCGCATAAAGATTGAACGCGAAAGTCTCGTTTCGATACCACGACCGTCGCACGCAAACGCGTTAAGCGCTCGAATAAAACGCAAGCATTTTTACTCGATAACTCGCTCGACGACTCGGATAAATTCATGCCCCTGTCTCAATCGACGAATACGGAGAACATATTCTGCTTACCTACCTGTCGAGATCGTCTTCTAGAGACACCAAGCGTATTTCGGATCGGGTCGCGTTAAACAGTTTACAGCTTACAACAAAAATCGTGACGCGAGCAATCGTAACCCTCTATTCCATCCGTTGCGCGTTACTTCGCTTTCCGAAGTATACAACAAAATTGGTCGAATCGTTAAACGCGAAACAACAGCCCCTTTGTCCCACTCTAATTATACATACGTAACACAGAATAAACGAAACAAAGTATTTGCTGCGTGTCCCTTCGTAACGCAACATAACGCGCAAACGCTGTAGAATTTCCTGGTTTCCATTGTGTCCCCGATCGAGCACGTTACGCAATAGAGGGTTAACTTGGAACGTAGGTTGAACAAATTCCGTGTCCATCGGGAAGAATTACCGTAACGTTCAGGAAAACGTGTTGCCACGATCTCTATCGGGTTCTAAAGGCATGTGTATGTATCGATTCGACCTAAATATCGGATTCCCACGCACCCATATTGATTTTTCAACTATACGATGCACAACGAAAAGAGAGGATAAGTAATGAGATATTAAAAGTGTGGAAGAAGATCGTTTACATGCCACTATTACCAGCACCATCACCGTTGCTACTTCAAAATTAGTCGTTCTGCAAGGCTACGGAATTTTCTTTACAAACAAGTCGTTACTAGTTTGCAAGTTAATCTTAAGTACCAATTTGTCAGCCTTGCGCGTCGTCGTTTAAATCGACGATCAGGAAAAGGCGAAGCGCGTCATTTCGTTTTGGAAATCTCTCGTTCGTGGTCCTCGATGAAATCGTGATACGCGTCGCGGTTTCGATCGCGTGTATGCGTAGCGCCGACGACGCTCGAATATATAAATATAACGTGGAATATCGTTTTGAATCGAATATCGTTTTGAATCGAACAGCGTTTGGAAACCTCTTAATCGGACGTCAGAAAACCAACGAGTAATCCAAATTCTACGTTCCATCCATCGATGCGCTCATAGTATATTTGCGTTACAACATAACAACGGAATTCCCAGTGATTTTTTAAGATTAACTTTGCATGCAAGTAAACTCGGGCACGTGTGAGCACTTGCCACACACGAGCGCGCCAGTGTCCTGTACAGTTCTACGATACAAAGAAATTACCTCGTACCAGCATTGAAAGGTATTTTAGTGTATACAGAAAAAAATATGCTTACAGTTAGTGCGCATAAGGAATATAGCGGTGGCTTTGTTCGAGTTATTAAAGGAATGTTGATGATTGTCGGCACACATACACCACTTGGCAATGCTTGCTAGTATCTACAGTTCAACCTACACCCGAGTGCCTATATACCATACATTTATATCCAAAAAACCATGCACTCTGTATGCTATAGTACAGTTAAACGATTAATAGAAATAAAGTAACTTTCTGTGTAACAGTAGGAAATGCATTTCTCCGAAATACACCAAAGACGCTTACGTCAATGTTTTGCCACGTGATCGTTTTATTACGCGAATTTTAACGTTTTCGCAAAAAGAGATTTGAAAAAATATACATGTACCAAAATGAAACGGACGAATTATTGTACCCTGGACCTAAGGTCCGGTGAAACCTAATATAATTGAACCTGAGAGATTGAATCGATTCGATTTATTTGCAAAGTTTTCCATTTTTTTTTTTCTATTTACTCGCGAACAGCCGAGTCCACGGAATATAAATGAATATTTTTTTTTTTTTTTTTTTTTTTTTTAACTGTAAAAACGCTATCGATGCCTCTAACATTGTCAAAGTCTCGCAAACAAAAATTTGTGTGTGTGAGAATAGTACAAAGCCGTATACGCTACTGAATTTTCGTCTAAATTTTTATTGTTAGAAATTCACGCAACTGTATCTTCGAATCAAGTAAAGAAATTCATTCCCGTCCTACTCTGCGTAATTTTGTCATCAAACCTCAATACAAATAATCTGACGTTAATCAAAGTTATGTATAAAACTATGTTCGAAAGTTGTTTTGTATCCACGTGAAGGCAATACTTTGAATAGAAAATGTTTGTGGCTCGGTGGAAAACAAAAAATAACACGATATTATCGCAACATGTTCATCTATCGATAAACTTTAACGTGCGCGATACGTAGATACAAAACTTGAAAACCATTTGCAATGCCATTTCTTTCGCTTGGGAAGCATGTATCAGATTTTGAAAACTTCCAAAGTCGGCGATCGAGCAAGAGCTCTAAGAGCGGGGACAACAAAAATTTCTTACTATTTTCGTAAACTGTAAAAGACATGGCAAAGCATCGAGTCTTGTATTATAGAAACATAAGATGAATACTAATTAAGAATCACTTACCCTGCACTGCTTCTTGCGTTAGCCTTTCCCCGGATGTACTAGGTTTCGAAATCAAGTGTCCTAATTGAAACACGAAAATGTACGATGTATCTACCGATATATTTAAATAGATATCGTAATATTATCGAAATATTAATCGTCATCGAATACGTTGTTGAGGATCTTACCAACATCTGACGATTGGTGTTTGGGATCCAAATTATCCGAAGTAGACTGACTACTTGAATAAAACGTTTGGCTGATGTCGGGCTTCTGGTCATTGTCCGGAGTATTCGACGACGTATCTTCTATAGCAATTTTATTTAACGAACTGTCCCCTAAACTTTGTTCCTCGTAACTACAGCTACTTCCATCTTGTTCTAAATATTCAGGCATTTCCAATTTCAAGTTCGGCATAAGAGGGATTATTTCGACGGGATCCGAGCTAGTCGTTGTCTGATTTTCCGTGGTTTTGTTCTCAGAATCTTTTGCAGACAAGGCGTTACTTACAGCCTTATCTGCGTTTGTACTTGTATTTTCTCTACATTTTCGTCTTTTAGTCGGTGGTATATCCGGTTGTAACTCGACGGCATGGTAAGGCATCGGCGAAGAAGGTGACTTGTTTCTCTTCTTCTCTGCTGTTTTACTAGAAGCATTTTTAAGTTGAATTTCAGGCTCGTTGGGAATTTCTAGGTCATCCTGGAACATAATTTGAAATGTAATCGAAACTTGTCGCGCGTTACATCGACGAAAATGCGATCTACTCCAATTTTAATCGTACCTCGGCTAAGCTATCGTTATCTTTTCCTGTGCCATCCGTAAGTCCTTGAACTGCTAGTAGTTCGGCAGTTGTTAAGAAACTGGCCAGTTGCTCCTGAACAACGTTTACTTCACCTTGGTACATAAAGTCAACTAATGCCGCCAAATCGTCGAATTTTACATTACGAAATATTATAACAGGATGCTGACACGGATTTTCCTGTGATGAAGCGAATAGTACAAAAAATTTATTTTCAATATACAGATTTATACAGAGTCGATAATGTTACTTAATCTTTTGCTTAAATTTACCTTAAATAGATCCCTGAAGTATGTACTACAAGCCGATAAGAGCATTTTGTGTGCTCTTATTCTCTTTCCCTCGCAACTCAAAGTCACATCGACCAGATCTTCCTCTGTCCTCAACGTGTCAAAAGCGCAAGTAATGTGCTTTAAATAATTATTCCATCTGAGAGAAAACTGTTGACTCGAACCCATGCTGCTTTTCTAAAATAATACATCACTTTTGTTTAAATGCTCCGAAAGTTAAGAACACAGCTCTGCTTGCTACGAATATAAGGAACTAAAAAGAGATAGTATATCGTTCAATTTGACGTATTTAATAGACTTGAACGATATTTTACCGTATTTGCAATTAATGCGCTCCCAAAGTAATAACGTGAGTAAGGTCAAAAAATTGATGGCCCTTGATACGTAGCACGATTAAAGTTGTCGGCAGCGGTTGTACAGTGGTAGCCGTCGATCTGGTTTAATTGTTATAAGAACGTTGAAGTGGCGTTAACGCGTTAGTCCTAATACGTTACGCGAAAAATAAAAACTGTAAACAGTAAAACGGAATAGAATTTCATGGCACTGTGGAAGGTTTCACGGGTTCCGCATGTAGATGAAAAGTGGCGTCGATCTACCAAACGATTTCAATGTTATGTAATTGCATCGCGCCAAACGATCCTTGTACGCGTTGTACGACTTTTCACAGAATCCTCTGTCACTTTAGAAGCCACACTTCCCGATTAAATGACAGCTGGTAGCCATTTTCCTTCAGGAAAACGCGTAAGATGCGCGAAAAGAACTCCACTTCCTATAGAAGCCACGCGCGATGCGTGGGACGTCGCAATACATGCGTGGAACACCGTAGAGGCGTTGTCATTGGTGAATTTTCGTTCATACCGATGTCCACTAATCGAAATTTTTACTCGTTCGCATTTTTCGGCATAAAAATAGAATTTCATCGATTGTTCAATGTTCCTTTAATAAGTCTTTAATTATGACCAGATCATTTATTCGTTCGTGCCTTGATTCGGTAAATTTTGTTTCTCTTTTATCTGAGCAAAGCAACCGTGGATAAATAAGCCTGAATGAAATGGTGAACGCTTGCCAAAAAACCGTCTTGTCTGTGTCTCCATTCATTCGCAAAATCCAGTAAATAACAGAATAATAATTGGAATTCAAATGATGCGCCGTTTCCAAATGTTATACAAATTACCTACAGAGATCGTTGAAATACTCGCTCGATGCATTACATACTGTTACATACTTACTTGATGTACCGTAATCTATATCTATGTTTATTGAATTCTGTCCCCTTCGTTGAGTTATTTATTCAGTATACGTGACAGTTTGAAATTGATTAAAATAACAGCTGTCACACAATAATGGAATATTGAGTAAACTCTTGGGATAAAATTCGTCTTCGAAATTTACGATGCGTGATTTAGATTTACCTTTAAATCAACAAAATTTGACGCAAATACTCAACAAATTATCGGAGGATGAGGTTCTTATTTTTATTTTTAAAATTAATAATACGCCTGCTTCAATAAAACTGCATGAAAATATGAGTTTTTTTATATAATGAAATGTTCAAGTATAATTCGCAATTTTTCATGTAACAACTATTTTATTGCAGATTAAAATTGAGACAACTTTGGAGAATGTACTTTCAAGACAATGTCACGTAGAAGCAAAACTACAAAATATAAGCAAGGTATTACCTAATGTTATTGTCATACGAGAGGGCTGTGAAAAGTTTTGCAATATGATTTCACGTACTAATGATCTAGCAGAGAATGTAAGTGCCAAAGTAAGACAACTAGATTTAGCAAGGGTACGTGTGATTTTAATTTTATGTCACTATGTAGCTTACCATGTTAGGTAGCCTGAAATTATTCTTATTTTAATTTACAGAGCAGAGTATATGAATGTCAAAGACGGGTCAATGATATCCTTGATTTGCAATTGTGCAGCGAAGGTGTTGCTATGGCTCTACATAATGAAGATTATGAACAAGGAGCTGCACATGTTCATCGTTACCTATCTATGGATCAACAATTGTTGGAAAGGACAGCTGAAGACATTTCAATGGACCACACAAGTATAAGTAGTTCTCTGATTACTTTACAGCAAGCAGCTTTACAACTCAGAACTGTGGTCACACATAAGTTTGATGAAGCAGTAAAGTCAGAAGATCTTGCTTCTGTTGAAAGATTTTTCAAAATATTTCCTTTATTAGGAATGCATTCTGAAGGGCTAAAGAAATTTTGTAGTTACTTGTGTACAAAGGTAATACTGAGATACATGTCATATCCTTTTCAATTATATGCCAAGCATGTTATCTAATTGTATATTTTTGTTTAGTTACACGAAACAGCACAAAAAAATTTGAAAGCAGCTTTAGAGCTCAAAAGTAGCGACAAGAGAGCATCTGTTATTTTTGCGGACACTATGACATTATTGTTCGAGGGAATCGCTCGTATTGTAGAAATACATCAACCAATAATTGAAACATACTATGGTCCTGGAAGACTATCAATGACAATTTCTATCTTACAGAAAGAATGCGATAGGTAAATCGTTTAAATGTAACTTTAAAAATAATACGAAAAATAATTATTACTATTTATTCTCTGAATAGGCAAGTTAAAAAGATTATTGCAGAATTTATGAAGCATAGATGCATCTCTAAAAAAGTTCAAATGGTAAATGATTATCTTCGGAAACCTAGTTCTGAGAGAGCAGATCCTAAAGAATTTGATTTATTATTGGGAGAAATTACTATAATGCATTCACGAGCAGAATTGTACATTCGCTTCTTGAGAAGAAGAGTTAAAGTAATTAAAATACATAATCTATAATATCCATTTGTTACACTATATTTTAAACAAATAAATAACATGTTTATTGCAGAATGACATAGAAATTAGTACAACAGATGATGTACAGGTCAAAGATTTAACGAATGAATTTGAAAGTATAGTTAATAATTCCGATTTAGCTCGTGGAATGCAAGAACTTCTAGGCGCTTATCTTGCATTAGAAAGATACTTTCTAGAAGAGAGTGTGAATAAAGCATTGGGAATAGATACCTTAGATGAGGATCAACAAACATCCAGTATGGTCGATGACGTTTTCTTCATAGTACAAAAATGTATAAGGTATTGGAATGATACTTGTTACAGATTGCATTAGACGAGAATTTTATTTTAATTTGATTAAAAATACATTTGTACAGGCGGTCTATGTCTAGTTGGAGCATAGATGGTGTCTGTGCGGTAGTGAATATGGCTTGTGGCATATTAGAAGGAGAGTTTGCGAATAGATTAAGAAACCGACTACGACAAGGCTATCCAGCTGGATACTTAGATTTGGCTCAAGCTTATAGTGCTCTTCAAACGAGTATACAACATGGACGTTTACAAACTTCAGACACGGAACTTGCTCGTCTAACATTTTTGGTAAAATTAATTATAGTTCTGAAAATATACTGTATTTAATATATATATATATATTTTTTATTAATTTACATAGGCATACTTAAATAATACCGATGTCAGTATCGAGTACGTTGAGACACTATGTAAAAGTCTCAGTGCTGAAATAGATGCAACGTTTCCTAACATGCAAGACAAAGATAGGGGTAAAATTGACAGTTGTTTATCTGGTTTAAAAGGTGTTATGTCAATTTTACGAGCTGTTACCGATTATGGCTTAGAACAGTTGCGTGTAAGTGCTGTTAAACCAAGAGTCACTCCTTGGGTCGATGCATTTTTATCCGTGGATCATCATGTGAACGAGGTAAAGTATACAATAGGATATTTATGTAGTATATATAATTATAATTAATTGTGAATATTTTTAGGATGATCTATTACGATATGAAACTGAAGAACCTTTTGTACAAACATTAGTCATGAATTTAGAAGGATTACTTCAAAGCTTTAAAGGTAGTTTAACGACGTCTAATTACGATGCCTTGATTGGTCTTCTTACTGCCGAAGTTACGGCTCGTTTAGAAAAAGTTGTATTAAAGTCAACTTTCAACAGAGTACGTATATTTTAACACGTATTTTTTGTTGTTTTGACGCTTAATTTAACTCATTTCTTACTTATTTTTACCTAGGCAGGAGGTCTTATACTTGACAAGGAAATAAGATCATTAGCAAGTTACTTGGCTGCCGCTACTTCGTGGTCTATACGTGATAAGTTTGCACGATTAACACAAATAGCTACTATATTAAGTGTAGAAAAAGTTGAGGAACTGGCCGACTATTGTGGAGCAGATGCAATTGCATGGAGACTAACACCCGCTGAAGTTCGTCGGATAGCTTCCCTAAGAATAGATTTTCGTCCAGAAGATATAAAAAGACTAAAGCTTTAATTTTACTTTAACTCCTTTAATATGTATAAATAATAATGTAATTTATGTAAAGATGATGCTATCATAATGATGTACTGTACAATTGAAATTTCTTGTACGTGAAACGCCTATATAATAAATGGAAAATAAATAATAAACGTGTGTTGTGTTACTTAATTCCCGTAGTATTTAACTGAACAGCGTGAGTGCGAGAGAGAACGCAACGGTGTGCGACAAGGAT